ATGATCAACTTTTATATCCCCAATGATATGAACTGGTAGAACCATTTTGTTTGGTAATGTAACAATGTAATTACTAACCATTTGTGTATTGAAGAACATGTCAAGATTATCTATAATCCAAACATGAGAATGATTTACATTATGAACAGATAAAGAATAATGTTTACCTGTAGCAATCTTCTCATATGGATTAACATAAATCATGTGATTTGAAAGAGAAGAAATTAAGTGTTGACATTAAGCTGGAGTAAATCCTTAAAAAACATCATTTAAAGAATGATGGAACTGAAGTTCACCATTGTCAACAACAACTACAATGTGATTGACTTTTCCCTTTGAATATTGTAGAGATAAAGAAGTGAAAGAACTCAAAATGTTTTCATTGAATTCAAAATGATTACAACATCTATCATCTATATACATAGAACCAACACAATCTAACTAATTTGATAAAATAAATTACCAAACTGCCCTTATTGAGCTAATTTACTAAAATGCCCTTCTCGTTCCTTAACATAATTTGAAAATAAAAACTATTATGGTTGAAATACATCTACGTTTTTGCTTAAAGCTTTTAATGTAATTATGTCATGTTAGGGTAAAACCATCCTTTTTTTTTCTTTTTTTTTTTCACAAAATTGAAGGTTTTAACGTAGTTGTCCCTTAACTTTACTGATTCCAAATAAGGAAGCTTTTTATTGGAGTTTTTTCTTAGACTATACGGTATGGGCCATTTTTTGGTCGCGTTATGGTTGAGGTGGCGGCCATAACGCCGTCTTGACACAGTGAACACCACCCCCCTTTCTCGTTAAGGGGGTGTTATGGTATATCTCAAGGTTCTAAATAACGTAAGGCGTGACTTGGCGGCAATGTCAAGCCTCGAGCTTTTCCGAGCCTTGGCGAGTCACGTCGTTTGTAAGGCGTGACTTAAGGCGACAATTTTGTATATAATTCATATTTTTATATGTATTTTCTACTATTATTCATTTTTATACACATATATGAGTCAAGACGGCGTTTTGGTAAAGCTTGGCGGCACATACAAGCCTTGGAGTCATGACAAGCTTTTTAGAACCTTGGACTATATCTTGTTGTAACGAAGACGAGATAAAACATTTACTTTGATTGGCTATTCCTTCATCCACCAATCAAAATTTTTTCTTTTTTCTTCTCTTTCCTCTTAACACCATGTTATAACATGGAAACACCACCCCCACTTCTTGTTATAACATGTTAAAATGTGAGGTGACAATAGTTGGCTTCATAACACAACACGGTTGCCCATACCCAATACTTAAAAATTAGTACGAAGAAAACATATTTTATCTCCGTAGGGCAACCTTTTCAGTTTCCATTTTTGTGGGACCCATGTATAAGTTATCTATTTATAATTGGGTTTTCTCTTTTTGTAAGACCAACTTTCTATATTTAAGTGGTTAAAAATAAGCCCATCAAATAATTGAAAAAACTCATAGAATTTGTTATTTAACAACTCCATGAAAAATCTCTTTCTAATAAATTTTTTAATTTTCATAATTGTTTTGAGGTGAAAAAGCTTTTGAAAAACTTAAGACTGTGGGGAGTGGACCGCAGTTTGGCCGCACTCTTTGTCATATAGACAGGGGAACACTGTCTCCTATGCGGTCTTGGGTGCGGTTTGGCCACAAAATCCGATTGGCTGCTCCCTTTTGTGACCGTTTGATTGGATGCTCCCTTTTGTGACCGTTTGATTTGCTGCTCCCTTTTTTTGTTATTATTTATATTAAATTGATAAAAAAAAATAAAGTGTGACATCATTCATTGGGTGTGGCAATGAACCATATTTTTGTGGTAAAACCTGACGTGACGCCTACATGGTAGTAAAGGAGTACGCTTTCAGTGACACCACTCCCTCAAGCCTAGTAGTAACTGTATTTTTTTTTGTCTCGATTTTCGAAGAATCACTCAGACTTACTTTTTGATTAACCTATTAGTAACAATTACTTGATAGTAGTGATATAATACCAATGATGTATATATATATATATATATATATATATATATATATATATATATATATGCTAAATTATACAAATTATATATATATATATATATATATATATATATATATATATATATATATATATATATAATTTGTATAATTTAGCTATTGTATTCTTTAACCGGTGACTTAGTAAAATGTAAAGAATGTTGTATTACATATATTGATCGATTGATTATATTAATCGAGTCAATTAGAAATTCATGATATCTATCTATACTTGTAAACTACCAAAACTTTACTACAAAAGAAAATTAGGCTTTCTTTGTGTATGGGTTGAGGCCTTACAGAAAAAGATATCACGAATTTCTTGCTAACTGGATCAATATAATCAATCAATCAATATTTGCAATACAACATTCTTTACATTTTACCAAATCATCAATTAAAGAGTAGGAAAGAGTTGGATAAAAATTCATGATATCTCTCTCTTGTTGTAAGCTACCAAGACTTTACTCCATATGAAAATAGGCTTTCCTTTTGTATGGGCCGACGCCTTACATAAAAGTATAATGAATTTCTAGCTGACTCGATCAATATAATCAATCGACTAAAATGTGCAATACAACATTCTTTACATTTTATTAAGTCATCAATTAAAGAGTACGAAAGAGTCGGCTACAAATTCATGATATCTCTCTCTAGTTGTAAGCTACCAAGACTTTACTTCAAACAAATAGGCTTTCTTTTTATATGGTCTAAGCTTTACTAAAAAAATATCATGAATTTTTAGCTGACTCGATCAATATGTGCAATACAACATTCTTTACATTTTACCAAGTCATCAGTTAAAGAGTACGAAAGAGTTAGTTAGAAATTCATGATATCTATCTCTACTTGTAAAATACCAAGACTTTACTACAAAAGAAAGTAGAGTTTCTTTTTACATAAAAAGATCGATAAACAATGGAAGAGGGGTTGAGGAGGTGGTACAAACGTTTTCCAAGAGCCAATAGACGTCGTTCGGAAAAACTTGTATGTTTTTTTAAACCAAATTTAAGAACACAAATGACAGAGTCACTAATAAATTTCAATCATCAAAACTATGTCATCTAATATTGTTATTTGTTGGATTATTATAATTCATTCCAATACTTTTGAGTTAATATAACCCAATCTAAATTAATATGATTGTTAGGAAGTTATAAATGAGGAGAGTAAAACCATAATAGTTAATACATTTTTAACATGTCTTATTATTTATACGATCGTTTTGAAATTGTTCAATGCGCTCAAGTGGCTGCATGCCTGCATACCACCGTTTTGTAAAAAAAAAACGACTTCCCACCAATACAGTGAATCCACGTGTACAGCATGAAAATTTGCCGCCTTGAAGCCCTAACGATGCAAGTGCAGTTCAGTTCAGTTCTTGATTCTTCTATAAATTCCTTCTGTTATAACTCGCAAACTTCCCTTGTCATCAAAATTTTCTATGATCATAAATCCGTAATACAACTCAGAGTTCGACTTCAATCACCAGCGTCCATTGGTAATGCGGATGATTAGTGATTACATCTTCAAGTAATCGACTGCTTCATTCATAGGTGCCCTTCTCTCTTTCTTTTAGTTACATTCATCTCTCTACTGATGTCAAATTTCAGTTTTCTTGTTTGGAGTTTTCGAAATTTCATTACAGTTTCTTAATTGGCGTACTCTGTTTATTACTCGCACTTGATAGTCTGATCATATATGATAGATTCGCATTTCATTTACATTACGAGTTTTGATTCCCTCTTTCTCCCTGTTCTTGCTTTAATTTCTACTTCTTGGCGCTCATTTGGGGTTTTTGAATTTGTATCAAGATTTTGAATCTCTCATAATTCGAGCTTCTTAGTCGTGTTTTGAGATGTTCGTAAATATTTTACATAGTTTCATTTGTAATCTTTGATTTCTGTTAACAAATTCTGCAAATACCAGAATCTTTTTCTTATCGTGCTCATTCTGTTCAGTCTTCTTCTACCCTTTCGCGAGAATTCAGTAGTTTACTTTCTTGACTTATCGAATCTGATTTATGTTTCCATCTGAATCGATATTCCACTTTACCTTTTAGTTTCTGAGGATCTTAATTTTTGTCTCTTTTTATTAGGATCATTGTTCCATTCTGTTGTTCAATTTCGATCCTGGCATTCTTGCTTTAGTCATATTCTCCCTTGTACATTATGTGATTCTTCTTTTTTCCTGGATTCAATTTTTTTCAGGAACTTTTCTGGTTTTGAAATCAAACACACATAGGAGTAAGACAAGTTTTGAGATTTTGTGCTTAAAATCCAATGGCTCGGGTATCCAAGACTAATCCGTTCCACGCAAGAAGACTCGCAGAGGCGAGAGCAAACAATGAAGATCAACAACAGAGAGAAGAGACACAGACACAATCAAGATCAAATAATGAAGGTCAAGAACAGACACAGACAGAGTCAAACGATGAAGATGATGAAAAAAATAGCGAAAGTAGTGGCGAGGAATGGCAAGGAGAAGTGAAGAAGCGTAAGCGGAAGTCTCCCATGGAAAAAGCTGGAAAAAGAGGAAGAGGAGGAATACCCATTCAAGGAGTTGTAATTGGACTCCCTAAAATACCAAAAACCCACACTTCTCCAAAAAGAGGAAGAGGAAGAGCAACGGCAAAAAAGACAACATTTGCTGTTAGGATGGCATTATATGAACAAGAAGAAATGGCAAAAAAGAGTGACCCAAAAGGCAAAGGAAAAGAAAAGATGCAAGAAACCGATGAATATGAGGAAGATGAAGCATGCAAAGGAAATTCAAATGGAAAATACATGGACGATGAGAGATATATATAAAGATGATGATGTCATGCCAGGCTTAATGAACATTTGAATTTGATATTCTTGTTGTGTTTTTGGATTACTTACTCATTGAGAGGATTCAATAAAGACTAGCTAGCTAGAATTAAAGCCATTTTCATATCATTTTTCCATATAAAAGAATCAGATTACAGTCGTCAAATTGTAGCGTTATCTACGACTAACTCCAAATCTCCATCTTCTTTGCTTTTTGCATGCTCTTCCAATGGCTTATAAGTATAAAACCATGCACATGCAAAATAATAAAAAAGGTTTAAAACTTGAATCCCACTAACTAGCATGTAGTAGTATTCCAATCTACCTCTATTCAAATTCCGATCAGGCAGCCAATTTCTCCCGTTTTTATTAGTGTACTTATGAACCATGGTCACCATTAACGTCCCTGCATACTGTCCAACTGCAATTGCACTCCAGTAAAGAGCCAACGCCGTGCTTTTCATACTTTCCGGCGACTGATCATAAAGAAACTCGAGTTTACCAACGTGGAACATCGCTTCTGCTACACCATGAAGTGAATACTGAGGAACTAACCAAAACACACTTATGGGTATCATTACAGTTGGCTTGTCGAGCAAGTTATGATTTCTTGCTACTTGTTTTCTTTTAATCTCCACAAATGATCCCACAAATGTTGCCAGAATGTTTACGACAAAACCTACACCAATTCTTCGTAAACATGTGATTCCTGAAGGGTTTTTTGTGAAGCGATATGCAAAGGGGACGAATACACGGTCGTATAATGCTAGAGTAACAAGTGTGCCAATGACACCAAAGACAGCCATGCTTGCCGGAGGGATTTCAAATGAGGGGGAGAGATGGCGATCCATGGTGCGAGCTTGCGTGAGGGTGAAGCTAGCTTGGTGTGAATAGGCCATTACATATATTATTCCCGTTGATATGATTGGCAACAATCGAATCATGGATTTTAGTTCTTCAACTCTGTGGACAGTAGCGATTCGCCAGAGCTTTGGTGAGTTTGAAATGAGATCGGTGTCTTCATCGCTAACTATGGCAGCTTTATCAAACCACCTTCAAAAACATATAGTAATAAAGATTCGATATTAATAGAATAATAGTGTGCATGCATGTATGTTTTCGACATATCTTACTTCAGTTGATTTGTGTGAACAAGTCGTCCATCCTTAGAAATACTTGCATCAAGCTCTTTATTCTGATAAAGAAGATTATCATCCAAAGGCACCACGGTTTTCCATTTCTTTGTTGCAGCAACGATCACTTGAGCAAGTCTAACAAACGGGCTTCCTTGTGGTTTTATTTTCTGATAAAGCGGAGAACCTACTAAAAATGCTACGAATGCAATACCCATTGCTATCGTTGGAATCCCAAGTCCCCAACCCCAACTCACCCTATCTTGGATATACACAACCACCGTAAGAGCAGATAAACTTGCGAGCGACAAGAAAAAGTAGTACCAGTTGAAGAAATTCCAGCTGGTTGTTTTTGCTTGTGTTTTCAATTTGGATACGTCAAGTTGATCAGCAGCAAACGCAACGACACACGGCCGAGTTCCTCCTAACCCGACTGAGGTAAGGAGGAGGGAGATATACAGCACCCATAGTTGAGATGACGACGCTTCTTTGCAGTTGACTTGGGTCGGACATTGCGGTGGCCGGAATTGAGGCAAGATTGATGATACAGTAATGATGATCATTCCCTGCAGAGATGATATGAAGTCGTTAGATTTCATTAATGCATGTGTATGAGTAGGTGGTGTGGACTGTGGAGTGGAATCGATAAGAATTGAACCAGCTCGTAGATGAGCAAGGCGATGATGATGGTCAAGTAACGACCGGCGAAAGAATCGGCGACGAGTGCACCGATGATGGGCATAAAACTAGCGACGCCGTTGAAGTTGGTGAGTGTGTTGGATGCCTTGACCAATGGCATGTTGAGTTGTTGGGTCAAGTATGTTATCAAATTCGCATGGAATCCGGTAGCGGCGAATCTGTCACATATCTCATTTGCTGCCAAATCATCAAAAGCTAGCTTCATTGGTAGCTTGTTACACATGACAAGGATATATCTATACATGGAGTCTATTGTGAAATTCAACAATTTTTCGTTGGTAAATTACCATTTTGCCCCGTTTGACTAGCGTTAAATGATAAATAAATGTATGTTTAGTATATGTTTAATTCTACATTCAAAATGATAAAAACTATTTAGTTATAAAATACTATAAAGGGTGCATATTTGATATAAACAATGTTATATACTTTTAAATATACTAGTACTAATATATTACTAGATGTTTCTTTGGGGCTTAACATGCATAATATGTTAAGCATTTGATCTAGACATTTATATATTGCGTTAATTTGGACCGAACGATTTAATGATTAAGTAAAAAAAACCTTGTTTCATGTATACAAACACCAACTCATCTCACGACAAAACTTATAAATATTTTAAAAATGGATTAATATATTATTCTGTGCCGGGCATGAGCGTAGGCGGGTATCCGCCTTTTTTTATCTGAAACCGGAACCGGAACCAGTGGTTCCTAAAATGTTGGAACTGGAATCGGAACTGACGGGTAGCGGTTCCAATAGCCGGTATCTGGTTCATTAAATTTGTTGAAATTTTAAAACTTATAAAAATATATTTTTTATAAACTTACAAGAAATTTATCGATAATATCAATACGAAATTCACACCGTATTAAAAATAAGGATTAGAAAATATGTAACATAAATAACATGATGAATAAATCATGGTTCTTAGATCCTATAAATAAACTCCACTGATTTAAATGTTCAAAAGAAACTGTTCAAATTCAAATATTTTAAATGATTTTATTTAAGATAATGTATAAAGTATGTGATATATATATATATATATATATATATATATATATATATATATATCGGCTCCGATAGGTATCAAACGGGTAGCAGTTCCATAAAATGGGAACCAGAATTGGAACCGCTTAAGGCGATTCCAATTCCGAAACCGACAGTTCCAAGGCGGTTCCGGTTCTGTAAGCTGATACCATGTTCCGCTGCTCATCCATAGGCCCTGCGGGTCGTGCGGTCGCACGGGGCCTCTGATTATAAATGACAAGTCATCCGATTAAGAAATTTCTTTAAAACTATATCACTAAAAAAAATTTAGAATAAAATAATAATAATATGTTAGTTAAAGTATAATTGCATGTTACAAATCTCATTTATATTATTAACAATATAAAATATGTTTGTTAAATATCTTATCAATATCAATTAAATTTTGACACCGGTATATAAACATTTACAATACAAAACTAAAGCTCAAAAGTCTAACTCAAATTTTGAAACTGTATTTAGCTATAAGGTCAAATTAAGTATATGAAAATTTTCATGATTGTGATTTTGAGGTATGCACAAAGAGTGAAATTATTAATTTAATTGGATGTATTATAGAGAAAAATGCCAAAATGTCATCATAACGAAGAGTCGGTTCAGTGAAATGTATTTAAAAATAAAACTATAAATTTGGGTAAATTACACCAATCGTCCCTCGTGCATGTGCCAGAAAGTGTGTTTAGTCCCTATTTTCAAAAATTAACTTGGACTGTCCCTCGTTTTTTATAGACTTGCACGCTTCATCCCTATTGACATAAAATGACTATTTTGCCCTTAATAATTTCTTTTTTTTCATTTTCTTTTATTTATATATAATTTTTTATTAAAAAATAAGAATAAACAAAAAAAATACCCCCACCCTTCCCCCTTCCATTTCTTCCTCGATCTGAAGGTCGAATAAAACATATAATTTCTTCTGCCTTCGTCTCCTTCTTTCTCACTCGATCCCTACACCAACGAAAACCCCATCACTGCCACCTTCACCAACTCTGTCATCATCACTATCATCTCTAACCCTTAAAACCTGCAACAAGATTCGACTATGGCCACCATATTCTCCATATATTACCCACCCTACGAAGCATCCATTGAAACAAAATCGATCGGAACATCCATGGTGGTGATTTTTCCAGATTTGTCAATGTCGTACATGTCGGGGTTGCTCTCTTCATAGAGCTTCAATAAAAGAATATACCCAACTGACCATAGCTTTATTTGATTTTCCAAATTGCTTGACAGGAAATTAAGTTTCGAGAATTCGTATGTACCAAGCCACAATTTATTCCCGATATCATGTGATGAACCATCATAGTTCTTTAACAAGTGTGTGTTTCCAGAAGAATCCATCGAAACCAAATCAAACCAAATCAACCATAAACAAAAAATAAAAATCGATTTAGGAAGGATGGAGAAGGGGAAACGAAGAAATGGGGATAAGCTGCTCAGTGAAACAATTGGGAGGGGCATCTTTCGGAGACTAAACCTTCACCCGTTTCCTCCGATCTCCTCTTTGCCTCTCATCGGAAACATAAATTTGTGATGGGGTGTTCTTGGTGTTGCTAGAAGGGTGTTCATCAGATGGAGTGTGGAGGTGGGAAATGATGATCTAGACACCAGAACCTTCCTCCTTCCCATCGAACCGATCGTCGGAAACTACCTCCATATATGTTGGAAATTGTTGAACTGAACATCGCCGGAATGTTGGAGGCTGAGGGTTTGATGGCTTGTCGGAATCCTAGAATGTGAGGGTGAGGTTTAATGAGAGAAAAGATATATAGGGGAAGGACCGTTATTATTTTTTTTTCTAAATATAATTTATAATTAATAATACTAACTAAATCAAAAATAATTAGAAAATAAATAAATAAAGGGCATTATGGTCATTTTAGATCTTATATGGACTAGATTTGCAACAAAACCACGTATCAGGGACGGAGTGTGCAACTTTTAAACAAACGAGGGATGGTCCGAGTTAATTTTTAAAAATAGGGACTAAACACGCTTTTTGGCATGTATACGAGAGACGATTAGTGTAATTTACCCTATAAATTTTGATAATGTTCTATCTTTGAAAAAGAACATAAAAAAGGTATTATCAAATTTTTTTTATAGAATTTTGATTTGTGATATTTAGTGGACTTTTTTTGTCTTTAGGGTTAAGAAAATTTCTTAATAATATTTTACAAGAAAGAAAGATATGGGACCTTAATTTATTTGGTGAAAACCGTGAAATATATGTAAAAATGTCATTTAGGTTATGTTTGACATATCACAACTAGCTAATAAACTAGCTTATTTTTCGAACCTTTTTATATCGTCATGTTTGTTAAGCCAAAAAGTAGCTTAGAATCCAGCTTTTTAAAAAACTACTTAGAATAGCTTTTTATAAGGTTTTTTTTTTTTTTTTTTTTTTAAAATTTTGAAATATACACCCTAATTAATTATAGAAACACATATATTAAAATATCATTTTATGTCATTTTTTATATTTCAGCTAGTTTTACCAAACATCATTTTTTATTACTTAATTAGTTTTTTAACTATCATTTAGCTTTTCAGCTATCAACTAACTTTTCATATATATCAAACATAGTATTAGTCTCAAAAAATAAATATATTAGTGCATACAACTTTTATTGGGATGATAAATTCATGCATATTAACCTTTTCTTCAGATAAATCATTATTCATTGCGAATTAACGGGATCAAGAAAACGGTCACTAAATAAAGTTTTTTTTTGTATTAGGAATTAATCATCCACTATTTACTATGTCGAATTGACTAATTCTATGGTCAATGTCGTAGATATGAATTGCTATGTAATAAATAATAAAGATGTCTTAAAAATTTAACATTGAATTATAAAATGATAAAATGATAAAATACTTAAATAAAAGTTATTTTGTACGAACTTTTAAACATTTAATATAAGTAATAATTGCTTAAATAAAATTAATTGAGAAGTGAATAACCCATTGAATACAATGGAAAGAAGAATAAAAGAAGAATATATTTGTATATATATGATTCATATTTTGACTTATCTTTTTTTTAAGTTGTTATATATACATTAAGAAAAAAAATACACCAAGTATATAACTTATTGGATTAATTAAGTCGTATCATCCAATCCATTGTGCATCGAATTCCTATTTAAATCTAGCAATCAAACAACTATTTCTCTGTCGCTGTGCGTCTCTACCCTGTTGGACCTAACCATCAATCAATTCCTTCAAACCTAAACTTATGTTGTCGCATGAGTTTCAAGGTTGTGTTATTAGTACGGATACCAGATTTAATATATTACCAAACATATGTATACTCGATGAGCTAGCTATAAACCCCTCGATCGCTAGAAGCTTTAATAGATCATGAAATATGAGTCGGGTTTGAATATACATACCAAGGATAAAGGGAAGGGTTTTGATTCCACCAAGCTTCTTTCGCTTTGCAATCTCCATACTTTCTTCATCTTCCATGTGCTCATTTTCAGGTTCCATCTTGTTGATGTTTTTGGAGTAATCTCAAGCTTTCACAAGTGGCTGATTCAAACAATAATATGCACAGTGGCCACAATATTATTATGCTTGGTGGGGTCTTCATACGACAAAAAACATATTAATGGCCAATTATAGGGAGCCAAGACATCTTAAACTTTTAATTTAGCGTTGAAAACTAAAAGAAGAATAAATGCTGCGCACAGGTTCATGTTGTCTTTTAGTTTTTGGTTTTGTGGTACTCACAATATGCACAGTTCATTTGATCTCTATGTTGGGGTGAAATTGGGATTTTTATGTAAAAATTGGTTATTGTAGTTGTAAAATTTCGGTTTTGTTATTTAGTTTACGTTATAGAATTGCTTATTTTGTAGTTAGAAATTCTGAACTAGATCTTGTGATTTCATGCGATCATTAATCACCTCGACCGTTTCTCCCAATTTGTGAGTAGGTTGAGTTCGAAGCTGAAAATTCCCTTAGTAGAGATCAAAAATCCATTGGATAAACCAATGTATTATCGTAGGCAGCCAATAATTCTTTTAATAAGCATGCATTTAATTTTATATTATTTTATAGGGAAAGTACAAACCCTTGTATTCTATCTAAAAAGCTCATTTATCTTTCCTTTTTAGTAGTCTAGTGGCTTTCCAATTTTACGTGTTAAAAAGTCATTATCATCCATCCGAAGGGATCCGATAACATTGACATGTGGCGGTCCGGTTGGCATTTTGATCAACATAATATGTCCCGGTGGCATTGAAATTACATCTACTTGTCTATGCATATTTGAGAAATTAGATTGAAATTGATCAAAGATCACCACCACCACCGTAAATGGTAAATCACCATATATCGTCCACCCTCCGCTAACACTACCATTACCACTTCTTTATTTCCTCCCCCGTCTCTCTAATATTAACCATAGATTATTGTATTAAATATTACAAAACAAAAATCACAAAATTTTCTATTACAAATAGTTAACATCCCTTTGCTTTTTTGAATTCAAACAAAAACAAACATTGTTTTTTGTTGGCTTCAAAATTGTTCATCTTGGGTATGAAGATCAAGATAAAGGTTCCAAATATAATATCAAACTCATATCGAACCCCACCATTACAAATTGAGAACCTAGATGAATTAATCATTCTTAGATCTTGAAGCACAATGGCACCAGATTTTCAAGATGAAGAAATCTGATGAAAATGATGAACGTTGCTTGAGGAAGAAGAAGATAAACAAAAAAACGAACTCCAAAAATAAACTTGATTCGTTGGTTTTGCTGTTGAAAAGTAGGAAAAGTTAAAAAAGAAAATACATACCCAGATCTTTGAAGTTGAAAAAATTGGGTGGAAGATGAAGATTATAAAAAATGAATCACTCAAATATTACTTGACACGATAACCATCATAGCTTCGAAACCAATTAATGCCACTGTTTACGAAACCCCAGATCTTGTCGCCTTGGATTCTGTCAACGAAAACGCCTTTGTTTGTCGTCGCTCTGCTTCATCTCTACTTCTCTCACCCAACGATGAAACCTTTCCCCTCCCTTTCGGCATGGTAACCAGGTAGCGTGTAGCTGGTAGCATTTTGTTAAACGCTACGTGGGATATCTTTTAGATTTGAAGTGTTTTGTTTAAACTAAACACTAAAAGTTTGTAATGTCAAACGAGAATTTTTGTTCAAAACAGAGCGTTTTATCAAACGCTAAAAGCTAAAAACTAAAAGCTCCTAAGCGCTTCATACCAAACACGCCCTAATGGTGGGATGAATGGGAAAGACAAGCGACTTCAATGTAAAAGCTATTATACAGTAAAGGGTTTTTCTAATAAAAAATATATAAAATAATTATAAATATATATTTAGTTTAAATTTTTTCGAATAGCAAAGCTAAAGTGGTAACATTTAGACTATTAAAAAAGATAATGAACATTTTCTTTAAAACAGAACATCTTTTAGAGTTTTTAGGGTTTAAATATCATCTCCTCTATTTTATATGTTAATCAAAGGATAATATCTTAAAATTTATAAAAAAAAAAAAAAAAAAAAACTTTGGTTTTGTTTTATTTAAACAAAATTGATAAATCTGTTCTTATTTTCCATAAAAAGTTTAGAAGTTTATAAATAGGTTGGTTAGTGCATGTATTATATATTATGTATGTTTCAACACACATTTGACCGGTTTTGTAACAATTCTTCTATGTCCTTGTAAAGTGTAAATCTCTATATACCGTAATGAATGAGACGATATTATTCATGGAAAAAACACTAGTTGTATCAAAGTTTCATCATATTCCTAACACTTCTTTCTAAAAGATTCATCTTTTATGTTCTCTTAAATCCTAGTCGTCGGCTGGCAACCCGTAGCCATCGCATAGCCTTTACTCGCCAATACCTTCTTTGTCGACCTCATCATGTCGTCACCATATAACTTTAAAAAACAATATGAAATTACCAACATGATGTATGTTGTGGGTTGTTCAAACCCAATGCTTTGGGTTTGATGTTGCACACAACCCTTAAGAAACAAACAAAAAATCCCCCGCTTCCTCCGACAACTCATAGTGGAATATTATCGCTTCCATTGTGAAATAGTGGATTTATAGAATCATTTTACAACCTCTCTTACATATGATCTTGATGTATATATTTTTTACTGCTACTAGTTTTATATTATAAAATGAACTTAATCACCTCTAGAAACTGCTACACAACTAGGCAAGTATACATATTCGTTTGATAGTATAGAGATGGTAAGAACGGGTTGTCGAACACAAGGGGAACGCTTATGATTCTAAAGTAAAATATTTACTATTAATTAAACTAGAGATGGTAAGAACGGGTTGTCGAACACAAGGGTAACGAGTATGATTCTAAATTAAATTATCTACTATTAATTAAACTAGACAATAATATTAAAAGGGGATTTTCTGATTTTAAAGTTCAGAAACTTCTAATATCAATTTAAAAACAACTAATTAGCAAACAATTACTTAAACTAAGCAAAACAGAACATGTAACTATTTAAATCAAGATATAAAGAGTATTTTCGTTTATATTCGATTTACATCTCTCCTATGGTTGATTTCGTTAATAGTGCAATGGATTGATGAGTTGTATATTGAATTTTATAATGACTAGTTATCTTGATCGAATTTCATAGTATTACTAATTAATGAACAACTAACACAATGATCATGTAATTAGTGAACACATAATTAATTTAATATATTCGAATTATGAAATATATGATCTAGTGATTTCTTATCAATGATCATGACAATCAATCAAAGCATAGCATGAATATCTAATACTTTCTAACACGGTCAAAGTTAACAATTTATATTACCTAACCCTATGATTGGATTAATCTCTGATCCTAACAGTTTATGATCATAAATCAGTTAAGATTCAAATTAAGTAATTAGATTGATAGTTTTAACTACACATAACTCAATAATAGATAATAAAAATCATAAATTTAACATGAAAGGTAAAGTGATCAATTAAACATAAATAATAACTAAACTAGATTAAATCTGTAATTATTGAAATCAACACATAGTTTTGAGGTTCATCTACTCTAAATGAAAGTAAAGGGTTTTTAGCCCATAACTAAAGTAGAAACATAGATAGAAACGAAGTAAACTTTGTTAAACATGATTAAACAAAGCAAACCAAGTAATTGAACACATTTTGACTCTCGATCTCTTCGAATCTCGCTCCAATATCGATCTCTGGTCTCCAAAGGGTTTCCAAGGGTTCTCTGGTCGTCAAAGTTCGATTAATAATCGATGCCTCCTCCAAAGAATGAAGAGGTTCATATTTATAATGTTTCCAAAAATTACGCTACTACGTCGTGGTGAGCTGATTACCGTGACGTGGTGTCATCTCCTTCACGTACCCTCCACGTACCCTCCACGTAATCCATGTTGTACTCTATCCAATAAGCATATTGATCAAGACACATTACTACGACGTGGCAAGTGATTTTTTGCAGCGTGGTAGTCTTTTTTTTTTTAATTTTTCTTCTTTGATGATTGTTTTTAGTTCTCCAGTTTCCAGCACAACATTTTAGCTCCTTTTCTCCCGAGCATGTCTTCGCCGCTACAAAACAAATTTTAAACATTATAGGTACCAAATTTTTTTTATCTAAAATTAATAAGATATCGCGTACAATATATGACTATATATGGCGATATTAGATCTTGAAGGAAAATCGAAACTGCAAGACAAGTTTTGAATGAACACTGAGAATTTTTTTTTAGGAAAACAAAGATGCCAAGACTATATAGCTAGACAACAAACTCTTCAAAATCTCTAATGGTGCCTCATCCATCATAGACTACCACAACCGTATCAAATTCATTTCCAATCTTCTAGATAATATCTGTAATGCCGTGATTTTTCACCTTAATTTTTTTTAATAAAAACATCATTTAACAAGTTATAGCAACGAAAGTCTAAATTAATTTATTAGAAAACATCACCAATGTTACTTAAATAAGATCTTTCAAAAACAACCCATCAAAAGCAGTGTTTATGAAACCAATTCCAAACAAATACTCAAAACCAAGTGTAAATGAAATCTCAATGACAAGTCTTAAAATGGTATCATCACTAAGGTAAAAGTAAAATTAACTACCCCAAAGAGTCTCAACCTCACCAGACCATCAAATCACATTGCATGTACCAATTCAGGGCGACAACAACAAGCAATAAACAAGTGTCAACATTAGCACACTGAGTCTACTTAGCACACTAAGGTATGGAAACAAACACACTTCATGCATATGTTTATTCGTGTAATCGATTCATACCAAAAAACATACAACACTTATTAATATCAATATACAATGTATATATTAATCTTGACATTTTTCATCGCAATAATTATTATCAAGGTTGTAGAACTCGCTATTCGGTACTTGTTTGACCGACTGCGCAACGAGTACTCGGGGAGTACTCAGATTTGGTAATTCATGTAGAAATAATTTTAGG